AAATAATTAGAGATTACTTCATTAACTCTGTGCTGAATCGGTAAAATTAGATTATTGGGGTTATCTGAGGAATTATTACAAGATTTTAAGGATAAAGTGACAGAAAAGTTTAAAAATACCTTGAAAATGCATTGAGAATTCCAGAAAAATTCATGATAAGTCCCACAAATGATGCCCATTCAAAAAACAGAACAAAATATATATTTCCAACAATTTATAATTTATTGGAGCCGCTAATTAGAGATTATGGGGGAGACATGGCGTTATTACACTCTCAATCAAGAGCAAAGAGGATTGACTAAAGTAGAGGCTCAATTCTGGGGGTTTAAGTGACCCCTGCGACATCGTAGTACTGCACCCCAAGAGAGGGAGGGCGCCGGGGTGTTGGGGTGAATTTTATTTTCTGCGGTATGAATGCTTTTTGTTTTTTATTTGTTTAACTGAAATTTAACCGACTGTAAAACGAGCGGACGGGGGCAGCCACATCTTGTGGAATTTCAAATGAAAAAAATTATTCAATCTATTGAAGATATACTCCTAATGAAATAATATTTTTATAATAAGCGCGTTGTCGTAATCGGTAACGTGCTTGACTGCCACGCCGACGGCTAGGGTTCGCTCCCGGCACGATTCATTTTTTTTTTATTTAAATAATTCGAATTTGTTTTTGTAAATGGCGACTCCATCGAAATATTGTTTAAAAAGTGAATACCTACTCGGTCTTGATGTTCCCCTGATACGTTTTTAAAAATTTTGCATTTGAAAATTTCAGTGAATACCTCCTCGGATCTCATATTCTTCTGATACTTTTTCGAAAATTTTGCGTTTGAAAATTTCAGTGAATACCTCCTCGGATCTCCTGTTCTCCTGATACTTTTTCGGAAATTTTACATTTGAAAGTTTCAGTGAATATTCCTCGGATCTCCTATTCTTCTGATAGTTTTTCGAGAATTTTGCATTTGAAAATTTCAGTGAATACCTCCTCGGATCTCCTATTCTCCTGATACTTTCTCGAAAATTTTGCATTTTAAAATTTCAATGAATACCTCCTCGGATCTCCTGTTCTCCTGATACTTCTTCGGAAATTTTGCATTT